TGACTTCAGCTGCTTCTTCTTCATCATCAATGGCATCGACTTTAGCGTGTTCCTCATCAGATTCATAAAAACTTGAGAAGAATCAAGTTGTTGAGATAATTGTTGTTGTTGTAACGTACCATATAACACAATATCTGAGAAGCCGGAATACTCATGACTGCGGAACATGCTATGCACATCTTCATCGTCTCGAATCTTTAATTGGAAAATTTTGCATTGAGCGTGCCCGCCAAAGAACACATGATTCTTGTAGATTATTTGGCCAACTGGACTACATTGTAATTTCTTTTCTAATCTCGACTTCAAGTGTAAAAAATTGACCTTCTGACAATAAAAAATCTAGTAACATCAGTATTTCGAAAATTGAAACTGGCTAAGTTACATTTAAAAACCTCACCGTTTAAATGTGCACTAATCATGTATTGTGGTGTTTGAGTCATAACTAAAATTTTAGCAAACTTGTGTTTGAAGGGATTGTTTAACTAATTGATACGATAATAAATCAGTTATCTCTATTGTATTAATATCAATAAAATGTTGTTTTTTATTATTAGATCTGGACTCATCACATGTCTCTGCGTACCTACAAGACTACACTCTGCATGCATACAAGATTCTCTACATGACAAGACTAAACCCTGCGTGCCTACAAGGTGAGCTACATGACAAGACTAAACCCTGTGTGCCTACAAGGTTCTTTGCATGACAAGGCTAAACCATGCGTGCCTACCGTCTGCGCTCTGCATGGCTATCGTCTACACTCTGATTCTATGCATGCCTACACGATTCTTTGCATGGCTACACTCTACACTCTGCATGCCCACCGTTTGCACTCTGCATGCCTGCCGTCTGCACTCTGCATGCCTGTCATCTACACTCTGATTCTATGCATGTCTACAAGATTCTTACTATGTCTATACTATACACTCTGCATGTCTATCGTCTGCACTCTGCATGCCTATCGGCTGCAATCTACATGCCTACCGTCTATACTCTGATTTTATGCATGCCTACAAGATTCTTACTAATAAATGTATACACATGGCTACATTATTAGTCTCGCAGGATGCTGCATACTTGTAAGACTACATCTTCATATCTCTAAGACTACACTATACGATGCATACTTGTGATCATTACTTTGTAATAAAGGAAAAAAATAAATACCTTTAATACTACACTCTATCAATCAATGACTGTAAGATTCTTTGCATTCCAATAACCACGAATCTTGTGAGACAAGACTACACTTGCATGCTTCCCTTCACCCATGTCATAAAAATTTAGCACGCATGCTTGACAACACTACACTCTAGCAGAAGATATATTTTCATAACACTCTGCATGCATGACAACACTACACTAATGTTTTTTACTTCACATGCATGACAAGACCACACTTGCACACTTCCCTAAACCATTGTCATCATGTTTCAGCATGCATTGGTAGACGTAGTATTCACATGCCTACATTATTACTGAAGCAGGCCAACACTATGCATGAATGACAACACCACAACATGCATTTTCATGTGACTTCTGCACTTAGAAATTTGCACACTTCAACATACATTTTCATGTGACTCCTGCACTTAGAAACTTGCACACTTCAACATGCATTTTCATGTGACTCCTCTCATCACATTTGACCATTATAAATACATGTTCATCAAGGAACAAACTCTTCTCATCCCATTACCAACTTTACTCCTCATACGTTCTACAAAATCTTCTTGTCACCCTGCAAACTTCACTCATCAAACTTCACTCAGCAAACTTCACTCAACAAACTTAACCCACAACGTCTCAACTCACAATGGGCAACGATTACAGAGGCACAATTGAGAATATCGCAGAGTTTGTAAGTATTTTTCTTTTTGTTATCGATCTTTACGAAGTTTAATTTTCATTTAAACCTAATGGCATTTATATTCTTTCGCAGAATGTACCAAGGTTTCGCTGTCGTGTGCATGACTACATACCACACGACCCTTTAATAGAAGGATACCTAGAAGCATGTGGGTTCGGTGATTTGATCAAAATCAAATCGTACTCATTGGATCCCAAATTTAGTCTAGCGTTGTCAGAACGCTGGAGACTAGAAACACACACATTTCACCTACCTTTCGGTGAATGTACCGTAACATTACATGATGTATACATGTTACTTGGCCTACACATCAACGGTAAGGCCGTCAACGGCAAAGTTGGTGTTAATGACCAACTTTGCAAAGATTTATTGGGCGCCCCTCTATGTGTCGACACACATCAGCCACAACGTGCGGTCAACCGAGGGGGCAAGGTATTAATTTGAAATACCTCAGACAACACTACAATAGTATCGTGTTAAATGAGGAATCCACCGAGTATGAGAAGATACTTAAAACTCGGTGCTATATTATGATATTGTTTGGCCATTTTTTATTTCCAGACAGTACTGAAAATACTATAAATATTATGTATTTACCGTTGTTGCACAACATTAATAAAGTGTGCATATATAGTTGGGGTTCAGTTGTCCTCGCCCATCTATATAGTGCATTATGTAAAAATGCAAAAAAAATTCTTGTACTTTTTATGGCTGCGCTTATCTCCTTCAAGCGTGAGGTTGGTCTAGGATGCCAACACTTGCTCTAGTGAACCGCAATCCATTCACATTCCCATACGCTAACAAGTAAGTTTATTTTCAAGACGAGTATACAAATGATGTTTCTTTGTAACTTAATTATTTGTACAATGTTTCTTAGTATCTAATTTATTTGTGTTTCTCTTTTTCTAGGTGGTCTGTTCCGGAAATGAATTACTAAAGATGTCCAGGAACTCCATAATCGTGTACCGTAACCTTATTGAACACATTGGGCCAAATGATGTAATTTATCTACCATTACTTTGTCTAATTGATAAACACATACTTGTATTTCTCATTGCATATATTGTTAATGTAGTTTGTCTGGATGCCGTACGAGAGTCTCGACCACCAACCCAACGCCAATGATGTTGTCGTGTGGACATCTAAAACACCTATCATTCGGTTCACTACAGTGGAGATGCACCAAAGTGACTGGGTGAAACTACAGTTCGGGGTGCATCAGGATATTCCAGATGCTCCAACGTCATTGGGACACTGGCATCAGTTAAGGGTGGATACACAATAGAGTGTAAATCATTGGAAGGACTTTGCGAAAGAGACATGTCTGCATTGGAAGAACCGACATCAACACATCTTAACCGACCCTATTGTGGAAGAGGCTAGATCAAGTTATCAATATATGATTTGGTTTAGGTCAGTTACAACCTCACAACCATTTGTGTCTGAGCCGACATATTTGATTGACCCAAGGCAACATGCATCTTCCTCGAATCCACAACAACAATCCAATGCCCAACATCAAACACCATGTTATACCCAACATCCAACTTTGCCCACCCAATCAATCTTCCAAAGCCGCAACCCACATGCCACCAACCCAATCACAACAATAAGAACCTTACCCTTACCGCCAGCCTTCTGAAACCGACACCACTTCTGCATATAGTCCTGATACATCTTTTGACCCTACCCCATCCACATATAGCCCAGATAACTCTTTTGACCCCACACTAGACAATCAGTCTTCCTACCAACAAAATACCTATCCACTTTTTGACTATCAAACCCCACAACAACCAATACATCGTTTCCAAACCGATTCGATGTACCAATTCGGACAACCATATCATCCACACCACACCCAACTTCCCCGACAAAACTACGAAAACATGAGCATTGAACTTAATTACGGAAGCGCCGTTGACAGCGACCAACCCGACTTTTGAGGTCAAATGCTTGAAAATTTATCTGATACGCCGGGGTCATCTCAACAAATACTTCTTCCACAAGTAAACACGCAAAGACCATATACACCTCAACAACCTCGTGGTAGACCTCGACGCCGCGTGCATCCTCCACAATGTGGTATCAGTGGTCGTTTAGATAGAGTCAGCCATTAATTTTCTTTTTTTTTTTCATCTGTTGTAATTTATATTATATTATAAATTAGTATAATTTATTATTTCTTGCATATATATATATATATATATATATATATATATATATATATATATATATATATATATATATATATATATATATATATTTTAAATTATTAAAAGTAACAAATTTTATTATTTTTTTAATCAAATGTAACAATAACTAAATATTAAATATTTAATATTAATTAAAAGTGATAAAAATATAATAAATATCATAAATTAAAAAAAAATTATTAAAATTATTTTTTTTAAAATATCAAAAAATATAAAAAATATAACAAATAATCTTTATAAGATTTTTTAAAACAAATATAAAAAATTAAAAAGAGCTTATATGTGATGCACTATTCTATATGGCGACTCAATGTAGAATTTTAGGGTGTCCATCGCGCTATATGTAATAGCAAATTAGGTCTGAGAGATTTGAATAGCTATTCATATGGCAAATCAAGAACCCAACTATTTTTGTAATTTTTTTAAAATAATAATTTATTTAAAATTATTTTGAAAAATGATGTTACATTACAAAAAAATTCAAGTAATGCACCGATAATCTTATTAGTTTATATAATAGACAAATTAATTAGATAAGATAGGATTCCACTTTATCGTTAATGATTATTAATAATTTTTGTTTTATTTTTCTTTTTTTAAAGTAATAAAATTATCTTGAATATTGTGTGACTCAAGTAAAGTCCGGAATAGCTTCATCTCTCACCTTTTTCCTCCCATTACAGTCACATTGTGTTGTCGTAGTTGTCATTTCTCTTCTACTACCCGAATTTTCCCCTTTCATTTTCCTCTCTTCCAATTCCAATAAGCACTTTCAATTCCAATAAGCACTTCCTATGGTGTGTCAATAATCACTTTTCTAAACAATTTCCATAGAGTCCAGTTAGTTCACATGGGATTGCGAACAACCTTTAGAAGGAGAAACATCCAAGGTTGTTACGCTTTTTCTCTAATTAATGGAATCAATAAACCGATCCTTAGACGAATTTTACTCTCCCCACGCGCGCGAATTGCTCGACGAATTGTCTGAGCACTTCACAATCACCGACCCTTCCATTTCAGGCCACCCTATAGTCTTCGCCAGCCACGCGTTTCTCAAGATGACTGGCTTCACGCGCGATGAAGTCGTTGGTAGAAGCGGTGCCATGTTTCAAGGTCCAGCGACGTGTCGTAGGGCGGTGATGGAAATTCGTGAAGCTGTTAGGGAAGAAAGAGAGGTTCAAGTTGTTTTGGTTAATTATCGTAAAAACGGCACGCCGTTTTGGGTTTTGTTGAATGTTTGTCCTGTTTTTAGTGCGAACCGTGGTGCTGTTGTTCATTTTGTTGCTGTTCAGGTTCCGCTGCTGAGGAAACCGAGGGTTTGTGGTTCTGGTGGTGGGTTTTCTCAGGTGAATGAGTTTGCGTTCCGGTGTTGTCGAAAGGAAGTTTGTTCTGATTCTTTGGCGGAACTTAGTCGTGTTTCTTCCGCTAATCGAGTATTGGAACATGATGTCGCTGGTTGGTTTGTTTTTTGTTTTTTGGTTTTGTTTTTTTGGTTATGTTTTTTATATTCCCCATTGAATTGAATTTTATGCGTTGCTTAGGAGATGTTTGGGTTGCCTCTGAGTTTAGCGAAATTATAATAGCACTATGAGATTTTGTTTAAGCTCCAAAGTGTGTACTTTTTGATAAAATCAAGTGGCACACCGAGATTCTGCGAGTCTCACTACCAATCCGAATAATCACTTGATGTATTGGTGGTGAGTTTTGCAGAAATTTGGGTGGTTCACTATGATTTTACCATAACTATACTTTGAAGCTTCAAAAAATCATTTTGGCGAACTCATTGGCAACCCAAAATCCAAATAGGCACTTATCGGTTTTGTCTTTGTTATTAATCCAGTTAAGCTCTCAACTACACTTGCAGAGCTACACTTATTAGGTGATTATTGAGTTCGTATACTATGCCTTTTGGTTTCATAAAAGTGACAACTTATATTGCTTTGGTTCTGAATGGATCAACTTTTGTTTTCCATATTGTTCCTTCTGTTAATTAGGCAACATATGAAACTTTTTTTTGACAGGTCAACATATGACACTCGTGTGGAGACATCCATGTAACATTTATGTGGCATTAATGATGGTTACATATAAAAAATGTACCACTTAGCTATTCTGCTGCACTTTGTTGATAGTTAACATTAATTTATAGAACAACAACAATCAAGCCTATATGGATCAGAAGATGTTATAATTTTCTTTTTATATATCATATCACTATCCAACCCATTAATCTCTTGATCTTTCTTAATAGTTTTCTGATAGCTTTTCTAAGTCTTCCTCTTTCTCTAGTGATTAGACTACTCACTATTTGATCTACTCTCTCTAATGCATAATCTACTACGTATTTCTACATACCCAATGCAACATTATCATCATCGCTATGCTTATTTCATTCTCGTGTTGGTTCGTTACTATTCAACTTGTGATGGCAAAAGATGGATTTGTGAAGTTTACACGTTTTGGAAGTTAATTTGTGCACAAGGACACTTCACGAAAGCAAAACTAGTTGTCACTTTGAGGAACTAAATTGAATGTTAACTTGGTGGTGATTAATTACAATGTGAATTGATTGGTTAAGGATTAATCTGTGAATACGTTCTCTTGACAGCTTATATTTTTTTAGTAGAAAATAATATAATCTTAGTTGGTTGATAATCTACGCATATTTGTAAGCAATATGATGTGTAAGATTTTTGCATAAAAATTTCTTATTCTTATTCAAATTTTATGAAGTTAGTTTTTCAATAGTAGCTTTTGGTCTATTGTCGAGTGATTGTGCATTTGTCCTAGTGGTTTGGTTCTATTGGATGTTTGCTGATATGTTAGCTACATAACATGCAGAATTGGAGAGTGAAGAGCCACGCGAGGCAAGTGGTGATGAGAGAAGAAGTGCTGCGACGGCCATGGACAACATTTTTTCTGTGCTAACCCACTATAGCGAGTTGACGGGGAAATTCGTGTGTAGAAAGAGATGCAGCGTTCCTGACGTGGGTCTTCTTAGCTCTTCCTTGATTATTTCTCTTGGTAGAATCAAACAAAGCTTTGTATTGTGAGTTATTGGAAAAGTCTAGTTTTTTTACTTAAGCAAAAGCTTTATGATTTTTGCAGACCCTTAGTTTGTTTATATGCTGCTTTTTGTTTTTGAGCTTCCTCGCAGAACTAATCCACATTTGCCAGACATGCCTATTGTTTATGCCAGTGACACCTTCATGAAATTGACAGGTTCTAAAACTTAATCTTTTAAAAGTTAATAATAGCCCTGAAAATTTTCTGGTGTTTGACGTAAGGATTTAAAACCGATAATTCATATTTACTTATTATTATTTTGATTCAAATTACCATGTTGTCTCAATAGGTTATGCAAGAGATGAGGTATTGGGCCGCAACTGTAGATTTTTAGGTGGAAGCGATACTGATGCCTCAACTCTACATCTGGTAATAACACTTTTTCTTTCTTTCTACTCATAGTTGTCCAATATTACTGTTGTAATTTGGCATCTTAGCTCAATGGAAATGGACTATTATGTCTTTGTGTAACTGCTTACAGATAAGGGAGAGCGTCAAAACTGAACAACCATGCACAGTACGTATTTTGAATTACAGGTTGATACTTTTATTCATTTTCATCTGTGCGACCAAAGCTTGAACTTTTTTTACTGGATATGCTGAATCAATTTTACACAACACTGACAGGAAGGATAAAAGCTCATTTTGGAATCTACTTCACATCTCACCTGTTCGGGATGCTTCTGGAAAGGTAATTTTGACGAGCTATTTCTCAGCTGGGGTATAAATCTCAAATGTCTATAATAAATTTTCTGTCGCGCATCAGTCTATTCTAGTTGTCTAAGTATCTGCTTTTATAATTCTAAAATCTAAATGAAATTTCTCATATTCCTTGTGCATGTATAGTGTTTTCTTGGACTGGGAAAATGATTTAGCGGTACAAGGAATGGGGAAGCCAAGGTCCGATTGATTAGAGAAAATATTTTCTGTTTTCACTTTTAATTGCTAAATTGATATACTGTTTGTTTGATTGCTTGCTTTTGGTTTTCAATTTGTGTGAAAAAAGTATGATTACTTTTAACTGTTTCTTACTCAATACTGCAAAAATGGGAAATAAAACGGAAACAAAGGGACAATTATGTTATTAAAGTGGAAACAAGAAATGAACATAGAAAATATTTATTCAAATCAAACAATCCGAAAGAATCAGTGGTTGATGTATCATGCTTATTGGGGTGGTAGCTCATATTAAGCTTAATTTCACTTAGTTTCCCAAGTATAGCGATTGTGTTATTTATTTTGGTCCTATATTTTAATTGCATGATTTTAGTCCTTATTCTTCTTCCTTCAGTATCAGTGTTGGAAAATTAGTACTCATGTCATGTCGCCGAATTCTGTTTTTTTTTCAGGTAGCATACTTTGTCGGGGTCCAAATAGAAGATGACTATAAAAACGATGATTTTAGGCGGTGTTGGAGACCTGATATGAAGCAGCTTAGCGTGGTTGGTGTAGTCAAGGTTGCAGTGAGGAGTTTATCCATGTCTGCTGGGTCGTCAAGGTTGCAGTGAGGAGTTTATCCATGTCTGCTGGGTCGTCAAATACATAGTCATAAGATAACTTATGGTTGGTTCTTTGACTTTGGTTGGTTTAATTTATGGGTTTTCATATGTTATGTTTGTTTCCCTAAGAAATGTTACACCATGGGGAGAAGTCATCAATCTCAACTAGTTATCGTTGAGATGATAGAGGGGTGAAAAATTGATTTATGAAAGAAAGAAAAAGTCCATATTGTCAATTGTAATTGTAATTTGTAAAAAACTAGACATTATATGTTCAAAGTCCATAAAATGTGCTCTTTTTCTAGCAAAAGAACTCAAATTTGTACTAACTTCACTGCATCTTTCTAGGGAATTTCTTAGTACGCATTAAGTGAAAATATTAAAATGTCTTTAGTTTTGGAAGATATATTTTTGGACGCACTTAATAGACATTTAACGTAGGTTATTCTAAGTGATGTTTTACAAGTTGAGCTTTTTAATACCGGAGATGCATTTTTAGTAGATATCAATAAATGTATTTGCATCTCTAGTAGATATTTATAAATGTATTTTTGGAAAATTTACACACCACTAGCAGAAGCAGACACTAAAAAAACATGTAATTTGACAAAATGAAATTAACTTTCATAAAATAAAATAAGTATTATATAGATGATTTAAATATAAAATGCAACATTGTACTTTAATATTCAGGTGGACGCTTTAACATCTTCACAATATCTTCGACCGATTTTAAAATTGTCATTTCCAACTTGAGCGGAACTTTTGTTTTGAAACGAAAAATTATATTTCACATAGCCTTTACATGTTAATTGACAGTGAACAGTACACGAACCTCACAATCTTTCGATTGTCTCTGTAAGGTAGGATATTATGTATTTTGTATTTAATATCTACATGAGATGTGTACTCGTTGAGCTTAAATTTTTACCCGGAGATCGCGCTGGAGAAGGAGACATTTGTGACATACTAGTTAGTGTTTATTTGTGACATTTGAGACATTTTCAGTTTGTACGAAATAAAAAGTAAGAGCACCTTAATTTATAGAAGTTGTAGACAAATGTGGACCATTCAAAACCTTGCATGCTGATTATGTAGATATATCTTCTATTTCGCACCCTGTTATTTTGTTGTGAAGATGCATATCTGAAAGCTCTCTTAAATAGGTTTGGAAACAGAACCTTTGAAAACAATTTTTTTTTATGAATGAACAAATGTTATGTGAAAGATAAAAAAAAAAATTAAAATATTAAAACACTATATGACAAATTGAATATATTACACTCATTAATATTGAGACACAATTGCATACACTTATTTGTCCGACTAAACAAGAAATGAAAACGAATCAAAACATGTCACCGGGTAAATCTATGGGTGGTACCCCCTTTGACTTTTGTGCAATTGATTCTCTTTCAATGTTGCTCAATTTCTCGAACTCTTACATCCTTTCCATAAAATGGTTCGGTCAAGTCTCGACTTTTGTTGTTGAATGAGTCGTCCACTCCGATGATGTAAGTGGTATAAAACATCCCAATTTCAAGTAAACTTGAATAAAGTGTCGTGATTTTAAAAGTCACTTAATACACATAATACGATCATTTGAATTTTGAGGCGGGGCAATACACAGTGGGAAAAAGGTTTCCGAAAAACTGTATCGTATAAGATTAACACACACTCAATCATATACACATGCTATGAGGTGACTCATTTTAGGAAAACACATCCATTTTGCCTTTGATGTCGATCCACTAAGGCAAGAAACAAGCGACTCATAATCTTCATCGAATTTTTCTTTCTTTCCGTACAGCTGTGTGTATGATTCATTATGAGTCCTCAACTCTTGGATAAGTTGATAGCTAACAAGTGTATGATTCTTTATGAGTCCTCAACATATTCAAAATATGAAGGAGACTGTGTCGTCGAATTGTCATTTGGTGTAGGCTTGAGTTTCGTCGGAGCACCTTTTGTTTTTACCGGTTGAGAGAGTGGTTTCAAGTTGGTGGTTTCCGGATAAACAATCTTCCTCAATTGTTCTTTGATGTGGAGTTTTATGTTGTCACCGGATTTCAAAAATCTCTCTTGTATCAATTTCCATTCGTTCAAAATAGAGATATTCGATTTACCGCCTTTCATGACACCATCATCATGAAACCTAAGCCTATTCCAATGAGTGCAAACCTCATTCATTCTTATCGAGCTATCAAGTTTCACCTTTTTTTTGCAATAACACAAGCACATGGGAGACCATATGTTTTTACAATTGTACATCCACACATTGCGCTATCGGAGCCTACATTATCAGCTCGTTTAGCCTCGTGAAAAATATAATTCAAACCCCAGTCGAGATATGTTGCCGACCAACTGAGAATAAAGATTGTTGTCTTTAAATATGTGTTCTAAAATTGTGATGCGCCGACCAAATGATGTCTGTATCTCATTATCCTGGTTTTGAATCATTTGGTTCACAGAGTCCCAATCTCTATACAAACTGTCCTTACTATTTTCCAACCAATTCTTCAATGTAGCATGGACAGACTCAACTCGGTTAGTTGTTGTAACTCCAAGGTGTCTAATGTAACACCCTAATTCTTGATTTATAGAATTATTTGAATTATTATGATTTTATTTAATTACTATTATGATAATTGAATTAATATGGGTGTTAGAGGGTGTGACATTGAGGTAGGAGTGTGGAGAGTGATTAGAGAGTGGTAGAGGTGAGCTAAAATTATTAGAATCTATTTTAACAATTAAATAATAGTATTTTAATTGAATCATTTAATTAAAAAGAGAAAATAGGTTACTAATAAAATTTTTAGTAAGGAGTGGTGAGAGTTTTTTTATTACGTGAAAATAGAATTTGGTGGAAAGAGGACATAAGGAGAACATCTATTGAAAGAGCTTTAAAAAATTTTGCTGAAAAAAATCTAAGGTAAGGAGGGAGAATAACCTTCAATAGGGGATTGTGCATGAAGGGTGGGGTAGATGAGTCCTTAACCTCTAATAGGGATGATGATTGTGATAAATTATATGTGTGTTCTTGAGGGGTGATATTCTCTTGATTATATTGATGTGAATTGATGTTCAAAATTTTGTACTGTGTATGTATGTGTGTTTTCCACCATTGTTGAATGTAAAAGGTTTTAGAGATATGAGTATTTGGTTGATTGGTGGTCAATTGGTGTGTTGATTAATAGAATTAGGGCATAATGCGAGTGGAGTTTGATTTTGAGAAAATAGATGTTTGAAATAAGCCGTTTTTGTGCCAAGAAGTGTTTGAGTGGTTTATTATCACTAAATGATGTTTTAAAAACATTAAAAACATATTTTTAGGCAAAAACAACAGTATGGGTTGACCCATGCGTGTTTAGAGTTGATCCCAAATCAACAGGAAGTGTTATTTTTAAAAATTGCACAATATGGGTCGACCCATACATGCTTGGAGTCGACCCAAACTGCCAGAATGTCTGTTTTGTCTTTTGATGCACTGTCCAACGATTTTGGCTATAACTTTTGTTCCGTAAGTCCAAATGAGACAACGTTCAAACTGTTGGGAAGCTAACGCCCAAAGCTACCTCATGACCTACTTAATGAATCTGTTTTATGAGATTTAGAAGTGTTTTGATATGATAATCTAATTGAGGAGATTGCTTGTATACTTAAGTTGCACTGAATTACATGATGTTGTGCATATGTGAATTGTTGCGGTGTGGTAATCTAAAGCGGGGATTTCTTGAGTTGTCATTGCATTATGTTAAGATCAAAGAGGGGTCTTAACACATTAATTTAATGTGTGTGAGCATGCATCATTGAGTTATGTTAAGAGATATGTCTGCGAGTTCAGAGAGGGGACTAGTGGCTTGTCCCAAGCTTAGAGAAGGGGGCTCATGGGTTCATAATAAGGGACTCGGTTCCAGAGAGAACCAAATATTGAGTTGTTACCACATGCATATGCATAGAGTTGCCTTAGTCGAGTTGCATTGCATAATGAGTTATATGCATATTTGTCGAGCCTTGATTGGTTGATGAGTATGAGTGTGAGAATGTATTGTTGATTAACAGAATTAAGGCATAATGCGAGTGGAGTTTGATTTTGAGAAAATAGATGTTTGAAATAAGTTGTTTTTGTGCCAAGAAGTGTTTGAATGGTTTATTATCACTAAATGATGTTTAAAAAAAAATGATAAAAACAGATTTTTAGGCAAAAACAACAGTATGGGTTGACCCATGCGTGTTTAGAGTTGATCCCAAATCAACAGGAAATGTTATTTTTAAAAATTTCACAATATGGGTCGACCCATACATGCTTGGAGTCGACCCAAACTGCCAGAATGTCTGTTTTGTCTTTTGATGCACTGTCCAACGATTTTGGCTATAACTTTTGTTTCGTAAGTCCAAATGAGACAACGTTCAAACTGTTGGGAAGCTAACGCCCAAAGCTACCTCATGACCTACTTAATGAATCTGTTTTATGATATTTATAAGTGTTTTGATATGATAATCTAATTAAGGAGATCGCTTGTATACTTAAGTTGCACTGAATTACATGATGTTGTGCATATGTGAATTGTTGCGGTGTGGTAATCTAGAGCGGGGATTTCCTGAGTTGTCATTGCATTATGTTAAGATCAAAGAGGGGTCTTAACACATTAATTTGATGTGTGTGAGCATGCATCATTGAGTTATGTTAAGAGATATGTCTGCGAGTTCAGAGAGGGGACTAGTGGCTTGTCCCAAGCTTAGAGAAGGGGGCTCATGGGTTCATAATAAGGGACTCAGTTCCAGAGAGAACCAAATATTGAGTTGGTACCACATGCATATGCATAGAGTTGCATTAGTCGAGTTGCATTGCATAATGAGTTATATGCATATTTGTCGAGCCTTGATTGGTTGATGAGTATGAGTGTTAGAATGTATTGTTATATACTATGAATAAGGTTGTGTAAAACGTGATGTGTTTGATATCCTACCTTGTAGTATATTCCTGTTATTATTGTTTGTTATTT